ATTTTAATTTTTATATAAAATTAAGAATCAAAACAGAGGAAAAATCAGAATTCCTGCCATTCCTTTGATACCTATAAAAATAAAGGATAAGAACATAAACGGTAAGATTAAACCAAATCCAACATCCGTAAAATCTGAACACAAAAATGTATCATTTCATCAACCAGTTTTACATTTCTACAGATCAGACAAAAGCAGAAAAAACCCGTGCTGTAAAGATCGATACCTAAGCGAGAGAAATCAGACAAAAGCAGCAAGCCGCAGGGCAGGAACAGCCACCGGAGAACCACCTAAAAGACACAGGAAATCACCCCAAGCTCCTTCTCTCTTCTTTCCTTCTGCCCCGAATCTTCTCCTCTCTACCGTTGCTGTTTCTGCATAAATCAAAGAGAGCACAAGCTGGAAATTTCTGAGAGTTTTGTTCCTTTTGTGCGGCTGTTACAGAGAAAAAATACAAGAGGGTTTTTGTTGTTTTGAGTAGAGAGAGTGGCTGTTTGGTGGTGATCGGTGAAGATAATGAGATCAGAGATGATCGGCAACAATGGCAGAGATCCAAGTCGAGGGGCGGCGGAGAGGTGGACAGTTGGAGAAAAGAAGACTAGGGAATCTTTTTGGTGGCTGCCACCCAGCTTTTTTTGTACGATCCCCTGAAAAGGCTTTATGTGGCTAGAGGGCTTTGTAATTTTTTTTGGGTGAGAATGGGCTAGACTTTGGTTGAGCTCCAATCAAGACCCAACCGCTCAAATTGTTTTTTTTTTTTTTTTTTTAAGCATTCGTTTCTGATATTAGGTTATGCCTCTGTCTGCTCTCTCACCTTAATTAGAGCTTTAATTTGCCTATTTCAGTTAATGGGACAAATTGAGGTCCACATATATTTTTCTTTTTCTCATATTATTTAAACATATATATGTTTCTTTTCTCATGTTATTGAAAAATAATTAAAAAAAATTTAAATACAAATTAAGCATCCATGAAACTAATCTCTAATGCTGATCGAAATACAGAAATATATATTTGTTACCCTTATAGATCCATAGATACAATTTTTTTTTAGACAGTAAAATATTCTTTATTAATGGAGTATACTCTTACCCATAAAACATTACATACACATTAATGAAACATGAAACACTTCTCCCCAGTCCACGTATCAACAACAATATTGTTTCCTGCTGACACAGACCACTCTCATGCTGGGGAGGATTAGAATTAGGGAATTAATGCCAACAAACTCTCATCATCAAACTTAAAAACCCATTTTATCAATAAAGCCAGCATATGTGTATATATATAGATATATATCTTCATCACCATTCAATCTAAAGAACTTCACAGGCGGAGGGTGAGGTCCATATGGGCAGTGTCAACTGCTCCAGATGTAGTGGAGAGAGCATCAGCAGTCGAAACGCCCAGAAAGCTCCGAGGGACCGAGCTGGAAGCAAGGTTCTGGTCCTGGTGCTGCTGGTGCGGAGGCGGCGGCGGTGGGATGGGCTCCAGCCACTTCTCAACAAGCACAGCTGTACCCCTGGGATGATACATGTCCGGAGAGTGGGGAAATGGTA